CTTTAGTGTAGATTTTTCAATTTCTGTGATGAATGACATTGGGATTTTGGTGGGAATTGCATTAAACATGTAGATTGCTTTTGGTAGTATAGCCATTTTTACTATGTTGATTCTACCAATCCATGAGTATGGGAGATCTCTCCACTTTCTATAGTCTTCCTCAATCTCTTTCTTCAGAGGTTTGTAGTCCTCCTTGTAGAGGTCATTCACCTCCTTTATTAAGTTTACTCCTAGTTGTTAGATTTTTTTTGAGGTTATTGTAAATGAAATTGTTTTCTTATATTCTTTCTCAATTTGTTCATTGTTGGTGTATAGAAAAACTAATGATTTTTATAAGTTGATTTTGTATCCTACCACCTTGCTGAAGCTGTTTATGGTGTCTAGGAGTTTTTGGGTAGTTTTTTGGGTCTTTGAAGTATAAGATCATGTCATCTGCAAATAGGGATATTTTGACCGTTTCTTTACCTATTTGTATTCCTTTTATTTCTTCTTCTTGCCTAATTGCTCTGGCTAGGAATTCCAGTACTATGTTGAATAAGACTGGGGATAGTGGGCACCCTTGTTAGAGACAAAGATTTGACAGTATCCAAGACTCTGTGAGAAATGTCTACCACCATTTAAACTGAGAACCAAATTAGACCCAGGGCATGTGGTATAAGGTGAAATAAACCAATGAGTTCTTACCTTACTTGAACAAATAACTTGTTATAGTAGGAGGAATTGTTTTACCACGAAAGTTACTGACATAATCTAAGATTCATCAGTAAATTGGGATGACAATGTTCACTTTGTATGGTTCCTTCTAGAATTAAAAGGAGCCTTTACTATACAAAGTACTTAACACAGAGCCTGGGATGTAGAGTGAGACATTTAGATCAAATGCTTTTATATTATTGCTAATATATATTGAAAGACTCATTACTATTGTTATAAACTATCTGTGTTGGGGTATTTGTTCAAATTCTGTAAGTGGTTTCACTACTTACCTGAAAATAATATTTTGTATGCCAAGATGCTGCAGTTTTATTTGGAAGGTCATTAACTTTTCCCATGGTTTTAAAATTAGTTTCATGAAAAATAGGAAATGAGAAAATTTTAAATGTAATTTGGTTTCCATATTTTCTCTATCCTTTGGTTAGGATTGCATTCAGGTTTCCATCAGGTCAGAATATTTTATTATAGTTTCAAAGAAATCTCCAGAAATGTTCTGTTAGTTTTGTTTTTTAATCTTACTCCTTCTGAATTTATCCAAACACCAAGAAGTGATCTAAATGTGCCTTACTTTATAATATCCTCTGATGTCAAGATTCTTTAATTCCAGTGTAAATCTTTCATGCTGCAATTTTGTTTTTACTTACTTTCTTTTCAGTGAAAAGAAAGGAGCAGCTGGTTACTGTTGTCAAGTTTCTTTTGTTTGGGATTTATTAAATATGCAACACATGAATATGTTTTTTCTTGTCTGGATGTAGAACCGCCTCTTCTTTTCTACAAAGAATGATTGAAGTTAAAATAGAGAGAAGGCTTAGAGAGCATCTGGTCCTGATATATAATCTGATTAATTAATGCTAGTAAAAGTAGTATTAATTGTCATCAAGCATGCATCTGTGGTATATTGCCTGACATATTTCTTGCTCAACTACCAGTTGGAATATTATTATTTTTCTTATAAATGACAAAACTCTTTGAATATTGTTAGCAATTAGGACACCAAATGAAATTTTTCCCAATTTGCCATCTGCCTTAGTTTAGTTTATAATATATTTGCCTTATGGATTTATGTTAATGTTTTGTCAAGCAAATTATTGGTTTCTCTTATGAACTTGTTTGTTTCATGCTTAGAAATTCATTATCTACCATGCTCTGAGATGTGTTCAGCTACATTTTCTTCTAGTCCTTTAATATTTTTACATTCACTCTTTTATCTATCCAGAATTAACTTAAATGCAAGATTTCACACTTTATTTATGTTGTTTATTGTAGCATGTTTCACTTTGCTCTAATAATTCGTATCATGAATCTGTCACATACACATTGATGACATGATCAGTAGTTCTTAACTTCAGGTAAACTTGTCCTGTAGGTGGTATTTGGCAAGGTTCATAGTCATTTTTATCTGGGTACAGGGGGCCAGGGAGAAGCTGGCTACTGGCCTCTAGTGAGTAGAGGCCAGGGATGATGTACACAATGTACAAGAAGCCCCACACCAAAGAATTGTCAGTAGTTCCAAGATTAAAAGACCTTGATAGATATAGATAATGGTAGATAGACAGACAGACAGACAGATATTTACTATGCTCCATTCTCCTTCCAGTCACACTCTCACCAGAAGTAATACTGTTCAGCCTATATTGCTATTCCCTACACTGAAGGGAGACTGAGAGACTGCCTCTGGCTTTGAAGAAACCCAAATACACTATATTTCCTGATATCTCTGGTCTGCTTTAAATGAACTTAATAGTTTAGAGCACAGGCTCTGTACCATGCTGTCTGAGTGTGCCTTAGATGCTCTGCTCAGTCTCTGTCTCATTTTCCTCATCTTAAAATGAGGGTAGTAATCATATTTGTATCCTAGGTTGTCATAGAATTTCAAAATGCTTTAACAGTGCATGGCACAAAGTAAATATTATAGAAGTATTTGATAAAAATTATACTGACAAGGTAAATAATATGCTTTTAATGAACTTTATTTGCTCAAAATTAGTCCTATTTACTTTTTATATTAAATACATACTTTAAAAATTCATTGCATATTTTTGCTCAATATCAATTTGAAGCAGAATGTTTCTTATTTAGCTTCTGCCATGTCACTCATCCTCTTGCTTCACAGCATAAACTCTGTCAGAGTATCAAATGTGTTTACTTTATTATTTTTTTTAATTTGGATTCACTTTTTTAACCATCATCAAGCTTGCAGATTTCCTTGTAGATACATATCCCTTTAACACAGACTGCTTATTTTTTCCATCTATGGGAATCATTACTTTTATTTTATCCTATTTTTGGGGTGCTGGGGATTGAACCAAGGGCTTTAAAAATGTAGTTCTATCATTGAGAACTACCCCTAACTTCAGAGGATTATTTTAAAATAAAGACTGCTTTCATTTTTAGAAACATCATAAGAGTCAATGATGATTTTGATGAAATTACATTTATCTTCTTGTGTCAAAAATTTCACTTCATTTTTTAATGCGTATTAAACACCTCCTAACAAGATATTACATTGGATATGACTTCCTAACAAGATAAATACTTTCTTGTGTGTATTTTTGAGCCTCTTTATTGTAATTTTGTTTCGTTTTTTTTTTTTTTTGGAGGCTCTAGGAATTGCATCCAGGTTTTCATGCATGTTAGGCCATCATTCTTCAACCCCTGTTTCCCATTATACATGATCTCTGTATCACCTCTGTTCAATGACATTTTCTGTGATGTCAGAAATGTTCTAAGTTGTACAGTTCAATAAGGTGGGCACCAATGATCATACAAAATGTGGCTAGGACAATTGAGGAACAGTATTTTTAAAGTGTATTAATTTCAGTTATTTTAAATAGCCTCATGTGGCCAGTGGACAATATAGCTCTAAAGAAACCCTTCATCTCCATTTTCAGTATCAAATCATCAACTTCATTCTGTCTTCACCTATTTCACTGAATGTGATTTTTGTACTTTTGGGTCATATGTATGTGTGTACGTATATACATTATGTTCCAGTGATGAAGTTATTTTTACTTCATTTATCATTTTTCAGTGTTCGTTGATGGTTGAAACTGAGCCACATGTATTTTTGTTTTGATATTTTGGTATTTAATGTACTATTTCTTAAAATTGGGTTCCTTAATATTTTTGCAAGTAAAAATGAAGTTCATTATAAAAACAAGGAATAGAAATATATAGAAGAAAATAAAAATAATCTTAGATTACTCCTACTCCTGTGTGTATGCCTTTGAATATGCACATATACATACACAGTAATAAACTCAGTTAAATTCTTTTTATATGTGATATTTTATTTTTAAGTACTGATTGTACAAATAATAGTGATTTATTGGTAGAAGAAATTTGAAAAACACTGAAAAGTAAAGTGAAGAAAGCATCATTTATGATCACCACTTTAATTGTTTTGGATTGTTTTCTCCCAGTGTTGTCTCTAAGACCCATAGGAAGACAGGTATGCAGGTAGATATGTTGATAGATGGATGGACAAAATATATTTTTTAAGAAACCAAAATTGTATTATAAATGTGCAGAGTATACTAGTAAATGTATACACCGTTCAAATGGAAATCAAACAAAAAATGTGTAATTATTGTTATGTGTCATCCACATATAATTAGTGACCTTTTTGAACATTTTTAACTTTAAGGTAATAAAAGTTGCTATAAGTTAACACTTATTCACTGAATTTGTTAATTTGTTAATTGTATTTTACTCTTTATATCATGAGAATTTCCCTATACTATAAAATAAGATTAATAAACATTATTTTAGTGGCTGCATCATGATCTATCCACTGAATCTATGTAGCATAGTTTATTTAATCAGTTCCCTGTTTCTGGGCAATTAGAGTTTATCTCTCCCATAACTACTGTAAATACCAACGCATTACACACACTAGTGTCTTAAACTTTTCATCTCTGATCATTTCCTTAGGATACATTCTTACAAGTGAAATCACTGGGCCAAGTGAAATGAATAGATTTAAGATCCTTGATATGTATTACCAAATTGCCCTCCAGAAAGTTCATTGATGCTTATAGAAAAAAAATAAATAATCCTTGTTCTAATTCCACCCTTTAATCATTTTTACGCAGCTTTTCTTTGAACCTTTAAACTTCTCTTTGGTTTTAGGACTCAGAATTGGTTTTTTTTAATACATGTTTCTTTCAAAAGATCAACAAAGTAATCACTTGGTTATAAATATCCAAACAATGTAGCTCTCTTATTTTTTCTTATAAAGGTTTTCAAATACAACATTTCTCATTGTATAAATTGTTTCTTTCTAGGGTGAACAAGGAGCAAAAGGAGACCCAGGTCTGGCTGGCCTTAATGGACAAGATGTAAGTCTAATATTCTTTTTTTTCTGCTATTCTGTTTACATTTTGTCACTGAAATGTGCTGTTCAATGCTATTAAGATTTGACAGTCCTTGGCAGAACTAGGCACAATCAAACAAAATTGAGGGTCAAAGCAGTTTTTTACATGGCTTATCATACAGCAATGAGTGTGTTTCTGGTTTTATTATAGGTACTTCTTTGGCTTTATATATCTTATATGGCTCTTTCTTCTTCTTTGATGTTATGAGATTACTTTTTTTTTTTAAGGTTTCTTTTCTCCTTTTTCTTCTTACTATATTCTACAGTGACCTGTGCTCCCGCCCATCCTTCCACCTGGATCTCCCTTTCATGAGAGGTCTGTGTTGGTAGAATGCAGGATGAAAGAAAGAGAAGATGAGAAGGGAAATAGTATCTGGATTACCTATTCCCAAAAAACAGTTTCTCACCCCCAGGAATACTATACCTGTGACACCCTTGAGTCCCACTCATCTTTTCTCCCCCACTCCAGAATGTCACTCCAGTCCTTAGAATGAAATTTGAACAGTAGCCCAAATCTGTGCTTTTCTCAGAAATGTAGTCTTATCTCAAGTCACCAAACTCACCATTTGCTATGATATGCTAACTTTGCTGAGGGAAGTATCCAAAATGAGAATTATTTGCCCTCAGTTTCCTATTCTCATTTATATAAGTACAGTTTGGGTTTTTGTTTTTTATCATACATTGTTTCCTGCATGGTTTGTCTCCTCAGTCATTGTCCACAGGACTCTGAGGAGTTCGAGGAACATGCAGGTGCAGACTCAAGGCCTGGCTTCTCCTGCAGTGTTTTGGAGAGGCACTACATATCATGGGGCAAAGCCACAAATAAGTTTTGACAGGACTTGAGAGGTCACATTATCTGCTTTTTGGATAAAAGAATATGGAAGCTCTGCATGAGGTTAAAATTAGTCTCTAATGCCTAGAGGTGTTAAGAGACCCATCTTGTATGCCATAGCTCAGTTGTTACAATGGGAAGGGAGGCTGAAGACCAACCTTTGGGGACTCTGAAGGAAGTAAGAGGATCCCTGAGGGGAGTTCCTCCAAAAGAGAAATAATCACAGAGGTTAACACTGGCATGAGGCTCTGAGCCCCTCATCTTGGCTCTCTTGGTTTGTTCCCAGGAAACAACACTCTCTTCTTCACTCTGACCATCATTTTTATTCCAGTCCACTTCTTTTTTTCTTTCTTCTTTTATTTTATCATTTTTACATTTACTTATATGTGTATACATTGTTTGTGCCCCTTTCCCCCCAATAATGGGCACTAGCACAGTACAGGTAGCATATAGCTGGCCATCTCTCTTACCACCTGCATGTTCAGATACTGATCCATGCATTTAAATGGAGCACCTGACTCACCTTCCTATCCCTGTACTGGAGGACCTGTACAGTGGTAGGAGTTCTGGAGTAGAAGGTCAAGTCCTAGCATGTGCCCCAGTTGTGTCACTAGCTGAGTAAATCACTTCTTAAAGTGCAAAATGGTAGAATTAGAATAGATTCTAAAGTCCCCATCACTAGAGTCCTATGCTATTTACACAAGGAGGTTAAGCTTAAAAACCATGATGAGACCTGAAGCATTCATTCAGGTTTATTAAATTCCTGCAACATGGAAGACACTGTGGAGAAAGCAAACCCTGAAAACAGTGGGAGGCAGAGTATAGGAAATACTGGATTTGAGGACATCTGTCCTTCCTGGGCACAGAGGAGAGAAATGGCCCACTCTTTCAATGATGATTCATTTTCCACTGTGTTCTGACATGGACACAGTTTTAGCCTTTGTCAGGTTTTCTGTTCTTTCTTTTGTACTCTTCAAGAGAACAAGGACAATGTCTTAGAGTCCCTAGTACCTAGTTAATTTGGGGATGTGTTCAATACCTATTTGCTAAATTTTAGTGTGAAAAAACTGAGAATTGTTATTGTCTAACATATCAGTAATGAAAGCCTAAATTAGGATAACAGTAGAAGCGAGTGACAGAGGTATCGCAGAGATAAGGATGTATATAACTCAGCACTTAACTGGAATGAAAACTCAAAATTACCTCAATGTTTTGACCATTATTTATGGAAAGGATATTATTAGCTTGTTAGAAATGTAAGAGCCTCAAAAGAAATAGACTGTAGTGATACAAAAGATAACCAGGCTCTCTGAGATAGAAAAGTAAAACAAAAGTTTTTAGAAGTGCATAAAGATAACGTTGGACCTGAAGTAGGGAGCCAGAGAAAGGGTTTCTTTAAGCATTTTAATAAAACGAAATGTTTCTTATGTTGTCCAAGAGTAAGGCAATTGGATTTTTAGAATTAATCAACTGAAATACACATACACTTGAGGCCCTACTGCATGTGCAAGGGCTCTGGCAGCCACTGTACGAGTTCCAAACCTGACTAAGAGCAGAACTGCTCTGAGCACTCAGTCTAGTGAATACTGTGACCTTTCTCCTCAGGAGGATCCTGCGGGAGTCTTTCAAATGCCCCAATCACAGAGATGCTATTTCTTTAGCATCATAATTGTTTAATATAGCTCATTAAGAACACCATAAAGCATAACAAAACACATTAACTTTTCTCACTTGGCTACTTAATTAATACGTAGATGGTGTTGTTTTCCTTTCCTTAATTTCACCAAAGATATTCAGGAGTCATGACCAGGAAAAGAGAATAAGTAATAAAAGTTCTGCTTTTTCTCCTTTACTATCACTAGAAATGAGGAATCAAGTGATGTTACTGCACCACTGGTAGTGGTGGCGTTAGTACTGTATTATAGTTTGTAAAATGCTTTCACAAGAAATTTGAGATTCTGTCCTCTTTCAGCTTTTGAACTATTTAGAGTAGGGAAAGTAGCACTACTGTTTTCAGAGACAACAAAGAGAGGCTTGGGAAATTAAGCAACTTTATTTTGCAAAATAGTAAAATCAGCCTTTAACCTTAAATGTTTGAAAAACCTCGTTTTTTCCCACTAAATCATGCCATACATCACTGCCTGTTTTTCAGTGCTAAAAGCTGACTCTGCAAACCAAAGTAATTCTGTGTTTATGATGGTTTATTCTGCCTGTCAATAAGCCCAGGTATACATTCATAAGGAATGAAGAGTGTTCTAATGGTATTTCAGTCCAAATTAAATTCAAGTCACGATGGCAATTGTAACTTCAGAAATGCTCAGGTGGAATCCATAGTGAACAAACTCAGTGCACCAGTGCACTCCTTTCTAAGTTACTTTACAAGTCACAGTAAGTTGGAATGACTTCATATTCATATTAAATGAATTGAAACAGCCTTCTTTCTTGAGTCTTTATGGTTGCATATTACATTTAGCTTAATGTCAGTGTATCTCATACCCGTGTCAACTTTCCCAAAGTATGGGCCAGCTCTTTTTAGAGAATGTAAGCCTTAATAAAAAGGGAAACAATCAGTACTTCAGTCTTTCTCAACAGGGTACTATTGGCATTTTGATCAAGACAATTATTTACTATGTGGGACTATCTTGTAAGAAGCAGGATGTTTAGCATTCTTGGGGCTTGCCAACCAATATTAAATTTTGTTGTCATTGGGACAACAAAAATGCTCTGGTATCATTTCAAATATTTCCTTGATTCTGTGTGTGTGTGTGTGTAAACTTTTGATTGATCTCTATGGTATTAATAAACATATTTCCCTCCTAGTTTAAATAATGCATATCAAACATGTATTGCAATGGTCAAAAATTTGAATTGCTAGACTTTAACCTTCAGAATGTAAAATCTCATTTTTGCATATTCTAGTATATAATTAAATTATTTTGACTGTGGCCTAACCTGAGATACATTCAACAATGCTATCTTAGAACAGACTTGAGAGGGAGTATCATGAAGTTATTATTGTGACCTTTGAGTCCAAGTTACCTGGATTCAGATCCCAGGTCTACTGCTGACTAGATGGAATACAACCTTATTTATCATCTCTGCACCTCTGTTTCTTGATTTGCACAGTTGGGCTCTGAAAATGAAATGTTATTAATATTAATAGTACTTATCTTATAGGGGTTTTTGGTAGGATCAAAAAGTTCCTGTACATAAAACATTTAGAGCAGTGTCTAGCATGTAGTAAGAAATATATAAACATTTACTGTTATTAGAAATGGTTAAACAAAGCAAATTTAGTGCTAATAGATAGCTTTTTATTTATTTGTTTTCATAGGGTTATATAATCTTAGAAAAGTAGATTTCAGTCATTGAGTTTAGTCTTCTCTGCATCTTTACTGTGGTCTTTCAAATATCCCTTATCAAAATTACTGCATCTGATGTTTCTAGAATAATCATGTTAATCTCCTTATACCAGTACAGTCTGTACTCCTAAATATAAAAATTCTGAAATTATAAAGCCAGAGATATCAGCTGGTGACAGCTGCTACTGTTGCTAGGAAGTAAGATGCAGTCAGTGGAAACTGGGACAAGGAATTAGTTAATGGGTTAAAATTTTTTAACAAATAGCATTCTGTCACATCTTCTGATTTTTTTAAAGATGCTACATCCCATGAGTTAGAGGGTCTTCCAATAAAAATTTCATAGCCTACTTGCTTTTTAAAATTTCCATTGTAACAGTATTCTTCAGCTTCAATTTTGACTTTAGAAAAGAATTCCTGTCTCCACATTAAATGCAGAGTCAACTGCTATGCTTTTGAGAATCTTTCCATGAATTTTATTGAAACTCTTAATAGATACCCATCTCATTCAGTCTTCAGTTCAGAGTCTGTTCCATTTTGACATGCATGGTGTCTTTTCTCCCCAGCATTCAATAACCGTTGAGAGTAGCACCAGTGTGACAGGAGAAAAAGATGCACTTGAGAAAAGCATTACTGATCAGCTTCTCAGAGCCTATTAGGAAGCCATGGCCTTAACAGCATTGTACCTTGTCACAGAAGGACATGAGTTACATGAGTCCACTGCAGTGGCCATAATAGTAGAAGCTTGATGAATACGTACCTCTCAATTGCATTTTATTCTATATGAATTAAAGTACACATCCATCAAACTGAGTATAAAACAGCAGAAAGAACTATTAATTATCCCTTAAACTTGTACTTAAAAAATAAAAGCAACATTTGTTAGAGCTTGCCATGTACTAAATATTTTTATAATATGAGGTTCTCAGAATAACTCTTCAAACTAGCTATTACTTATACTTAGTTTATGGGGGTGCTTAAAACTACCCAAGATTATGCATATAGTGCCATTGCTCTTCCAATTATCCTTTACTCCATCTTGAACACATCCAGTAGAATTAGCCATCCTAGGAACTGCTCCCTTCACCCCAGCTATATACTTCTATGATAGATGCAGTATTCACAGTGATTCAGTTGATTTGTAATTGGTTGCATCATCTCCTCATCCCCTTCCTGGCCACAGTTTTGATTGAACCCAGGATAGTTACCTGACTCAACTACCAATAAGTCTTTTCCCTACAAGTTAAAATTGGTGTTAATTTATCAGGTAGGAATCTTTAATTTTTTTAATCTTTAAAAAGCTTTAAGTTTATGACTATTATTTTATATATATATAAAATAAAGTGGTTGTGAATCATAGTTATAGCTGGGACGCCAGTGAATCCAGAACTCAATGTAAGAACTAGAATCATCCTTCCACTAGAATCTTCCTGGGTGAGTCTCCCTATTCCTTCCCCCCACTCCAGAATTAACCATTAGCCTTCTGTTTTCAAAATTACCTTTCGTATTCACATATTTATATAAGGAGTAAAATTTTTAATCATACATGTTTGTGGATATTCAGTAACTTTTTTAATAAATGAATCTCAGGATCTTTATCAGCTATTTCTTTTTTCGTGTTTGGCTTTTTATAGTTTGCATGAGCAAGAAGAGAGAAAACCTCTTTATAATAAATTTCTTAGTGCAACCTCCTATCCATTTATATTTGCCAAGTACAAATGAGCCTCAATACTTCCTTTTCCTGGTCCCTGCTCCCAGCACATCTGCCAGTCCTGCCTCCCAGTATGTGCCAACTTTGATCACAGCCATCCTGCTCTCTTGTCTAGAAAGCTGTCATCACCCATTTTCTGCTTCCAGTCTTGGTGCCTGATATGTATGTCCTAGGTTATAGCAAAAGTGATTCTTTTAAACTGGGAGATCATGTTGTTTTCCTGTTTAAACACACACACACACACACACACACACACACACTAAGTGACTTAAAAAATTAAGTCTTCCACACCAGGCCTGAAATTCCCTACTTGCTGATCTCTGGCCAATCTGGATTTAATATCCCACTCCTTACCTGTGTGCTGTTGACCTTTCTTTTGCCTTGGGGACTTGTGTTGACTCTTCCCACTTCCCTCACACTTACCTCCCACAGTCATTGTGTGGCTGGATCCTTCTGAAACAACGTCACCTGCACACAGAGGCCATTTCTGGACACCCTACCTGAAGTAGCAGCTATTCTCTCCTTCACTTATCACATTCAGTCTACTTAACCTGCTTAATTTCAGTCTCACTCATCTTACTACGTGCATTCCACAAGGGTGAGACCTTGACTTTGTTAAAGAAAAATATTATTCTGATACTTACTTTTTTCCTTCTGGATTTTTTATTAACATACATTGATAGTACAAGGGAGTTTCCTTGTAATATTTCAGTAGGTATGACAATATACTTTGAACAAGTTCACCTCCTTGATTATACTCCTCCCCCTTTTTCAGATAGTTTTGGTGGGTTTCATTATGATACATATATCTATATATATATAGATATATGTATATGTATATAAAAATCCTTTGATACTCTTCACTCCCAGGGCCCTTTTCTTTCCCCCTCCTCCCTCCCACTGATCCCCATTCAACATTCCTCACTATTATTATAATCATTGTCATCACCATCATTATTTTAGGTCTAGATTCCACAGATAAGCAAAAATATGGGCTATTAGGCTCTTGAGCTGGATTTCTCTCCCTCAACATGACGATATCCAGTTCTATCCATTTTCCTGCAAGCAACATAATTTCATTCTTTGCCCAACAAATAATGAATGGATAAAGAAAATGTGGTACATATGCACTTTTTTTTAATGGCAAGGAAGATTTTTTTTTTTATTCAAGAGCATTGCCATGGGGGAGAGGGTCCAATAAGGGAGAAAAACCAGGCTCAACTCCAAATCCAATAAGGAAAATGGGATAAAGGAAAAGGGTAAAATAAAGAGGGATCAGTGAATATGAAATTACAAAGAGAAGACATCAAGGGTGGGATAAGACTTGCTAAACTTTTCTAAAAGAATTCTTGCTAATACAAGTAAACAACTTAGATATCGAAGGTCAAAGTTGAAGAGTGGGTATCAAGGGTGGGGGATGTTTTCTAAACTGACTTTGCAAGATGGTCCAGATCTAGACTTAGTTGCAAATGGGGCTCAAAGGAGCATGATTGAAGTTTGGTCATGAAAAGAATATTCATCATCAGTTTCTTGTTCTTCTGCATCCCTAAAGCAGTATTATCCAATAGAAATATAACAAAACTCTCAAATTCAAGACAAATATAAATATGTTACATTTTCTAGTAGCCCCATTAGGAAAAGTAGAAAGAAACAGGTGTACATACTTTAAATAATAATTTCACTTTTCCATCACATCCAAATGTTATTTCAACATATAATCAATATAAAAATTATTAATGAAATACTTCATATAATTTTCAAATACTAGATATCAGAACCGATGCTGGGAATGTAGCTAGCATGTGTAAGGCCCTGGTTTCAACCCCCAGAAATGCAAAAAACAATAAATAGAACCACCAGATATCATAAACCTAATCATGTTTTAATTTCTTAAAAGTGCGTCTCAATCAGATGAGTCATATTTTAAGGGTCCAAATGCTAAATGTACTTTTGTCTACTATATTGGAAAGTACAGGTCTAAAGGCTAGAAGAGTGACTGCACATAATATATATAATAAATATTTATTCGATAAATGGATGAATGAAAGAATGACTGAAAAAATTCATCCACAGATATAGTAATTGTCCCTCCCATGTGGTACTATGACTGATAAAAATTCATCCACAGATATAGCAGTTGCCCATCCCATGTGGTACTGCCCCCAAAGGATATTCTGATGCCAAGTTTTACTCTAGAAATAAGTGTGATTGTTGATTCGGGAAGGAATGGATATCTCAAGAGAATGCCATATGATAAATACCATTTAATTTTTCACTCCTCCCTTTTCTATAAATATTCTGAAGTAGTGATAGAAAAATGTGAGTTATATCTGCAAAGGCATTTATGCAACTGTAAAGTTTTTTGGCTAATTAGATGTTGTTTTCATCCATTAAATTTTCTTCTTAATGTATGAAACTACAGGTTTTTCACATTCTCTGCAACAAGATTATTTTAAGTATCCAATTTTCCTTTGTTTCTTTCAATCCCTCATTGGTTTATATATTGAGTAGCTACATGTGATGACATTAGGCATTATTTATTCACTGTAAAACGTTAGGGCATAATAATAGCTGGATCCCTCAGCTAGAAGCAATACAATGCCTAGACTTCCTGTTCATTATGTGGCTTTAGAATATTTCTTTCTTTCATTTGTGTTCCTCCTTTATCCCATGTATTAAACTAGAGATGAAGGAAGGTATTTTTTTCCTGTTTACCACGCAGACATGTTTGCACTGTGAACACATCCAGCTGTAGAACTGATCCCTCCAGTGAAATCTATTGTGGTATTCATGAAAGCTGTCATTTCTGAGTCAGATCTACTAAATACACATTAAAACACACAACAGTCCAGAGGATTTGTAAAAATATTTATCTGATATTCTGTCTATGTCTTATGTAGTTCCATTTGATATCTTTCTAAGTCCAGGTTTTAAAAAGGAAAGGAATTAGAAAACTAAAACATACTTTGAAACAGGGACGATATTGTATTTTAGTTCCAGCATTGTGAGTGGCAGAAAAAGAATATATCTTTCATTTCTTTTCCCCCTACAATTAGATTTCTTGACAGAGACATAAAAATGTTTTTGATTTAACTCTTGAAATTTTTGGCAAGCTCTATAAAGGCCAAATCAATGCTAAATCAGAGGTATTTACAACATCCACAAATTTAATCCAAAGTGGATACTTAAAAGCTCATATAGATCCAAATGATGTTCTCCCAGATGGTGAATTAATGTAATTTTAGCAGGAAGCAAAGTTGCACAAATATGCAGTATTGAGGACTCGTGCTGGTTTAATGTATCTGTACCCACCACAGCACAGATGTTGCTTACCATTTTAGTGCCAGTTGTCTTTATTTCTCTCTATGCTACAAAAGGAAGAATGAGATTTGGGAGTTCATAAATTGTGATTTATTTTGTTTCTAATGACTTGTTAGAAACTGAAGCTTTCTGTGAACTGTATATGGAAATTATATTGGTTATATTCTCTATACAGGGCCTGAAAGGTGACTTGGGTCCTCATGGTCCACCTGGCCCAAAAGGAGAAAAGGTATTGTATCTACCCAAAAATGTGCCAACTTTATTTTAAGAAAACTCTGGAAACTTATGTAATAACTTCTTATTGATACTTGTAATTGACAAAAACATTTAAAAATTAGCCAAAGCCTATTACATTAGAAACATCTGAACAAGAAAAGCTTTTTGGTTTATTTAATTAGTTTGGAAAGACTAAATGTACAGTTATGAGTCAACATTAATGCATGTTTATAAGATTTCCCTTTTCTTACCCTTGCTTAACAGCATGAGCAATTCAATCACTAAACTAGCAAAGGTGTTCTGTGTCAGGGAAGTCAGCCAGTAACACCAGCTACCACCTTAATTAAGGAATATTGAAAGCAAGAGTAGTGTTGAAGAAAGCCATTAGGTGATCCCAATTTGATAAGAATTGTTTATGTGTGTGTTTTATACTACATTTTGTTCTCCATTCTCAGCACATTTAGAAATCCTTGTGTGTTTTCAACATTTATCTCAACATTAATGATGATCTTGCAAATTGGTTCTTTTTTATTATTGTTATTGTTATTATTGTTTTTGTTTTTTTTTTATTTTTTTATTATTGTTTTATTATTCGTATGTGCATACAAGGCTTGGGTCATTTCTACCCCCTGCCCCCACCCCCTCCCTTACCACCCACTCCGCCCCCTCCCTCTCCCCCCAAACCCCTCAACAGCAAATTGGTTCTTAATGACTGGTCTAATCTACACCAAAGTTCCTTAACAATTACTGGTTATTTTATTCTAAAAAATAATAGATATAATGCTAAGCCTTAACTTTTGAGATAGCTAAATTTGATGAGAAAAGAGAAAATTCTAAAGACACTCTCAACATGAGAATGTAACATCCTCATGCCCTGTGGCACACATCATGGGCATGTGGATTCCCTAATGTCCAGCTGAAGAGTCACACCAATGATTCTTGTCTTAATAACTGAGAGTTCTTATGAAGTATATAAAATTTCTGAGACAGTAAAGCAGGGCAATAACATGTATTGAACTTTTAGATTAACCACTTTTTAAAGGTTTTGAATAGTCAACATACACACCTGGAAATTTGTATTAACATAGGTCAGCAAAGCAATTTTAACATTTGAAAATACACAAATACAGGAAAAGCCTCTTACAGTTGATGGCAAGTGTGATGCCGATTCAGCAGGGCTTAGACGAGGCCGTGGGAACCGTTGATCGCAGCTGGGAGGCATGAATTGGGGAGATCCACTTATTATTTCTGCTGATCCTCCTACTAACTTTGTCAGAAAAATTATCTATCACTGTGACACTTCCCAGCTGCTTCATTGGCAAGTAACCATATTTGAAAAAATACTTTTTCTAATTTTGGATTAGTAATCAAAAGAATAGGAAATTAGATTATTTCAGTTTTTCAAAACAAGTTCTGCTGCAAAAACATGAGGATGAATGAGGCAGTTTATATCATGAATGCTAAAGGGAACACAATAAATTTTTCATTGTGCAGAGTCAGTGCACAAAACAAATTCTATTTTTGTCCCCTTCAAAATTTACCTATGTACATTGCTTTGATACTCAGAAATTCACAAATAATGCATGAAAAGGGGCTATGGGTAATTGCAACTTTTATTTTATTTTAGGGTGAAATGGGACCGCCAGGACCACTGGCCTTACCTGTGAGTATTCTTGAAATGAAAATTCAAAATTGAAATAGGTTACCTTACTGATTATTCATACTGCATCATGACTAAACTAGAATCTAAATCATAAAGTATTTCACGAATTCAAAATGACCTCAGAGTATATACAACCAAGCATATATGACCCAAGGTCATACAGGTACTTACTACAAAAGACCATACAAAATATCTAGCCTGAGTGATTTTCTTTTCCTTCATATGGCTCATAATTGTAACCCTGAGATGTTTCATTTCATATTCTTTTTTTAATACAAAATGCACTAAGAATAAATGGAAGCAGACAGCTCTATTTAGTGTAAAAACTGTTTTAAAAAACTATAATCATCCAATAGGTAAAACAGATATCTGCTTCAGCTGATTGTTACATTTCCCCAAACCTGTCCAAGACCATTGTTATTTTCCTATGTGATTTGTTTCTAAGATTTGCAAATCATAGAATGGCAATATTTCAATAATAGATTTAAGCGAGAAGTTTGTAATGTGCATAAAATGGAATGGCACTCAATTGGTTCATCACTTATTAAGCATTTAATCATAAAGATATAATGCTTTTATATTTAGATATAATTTACAATTACAGATATTCTTCATAGATCATTAAAGATTCTCATTTAACTTAAAAATTTGGTCTAAGAAAGATTCTAATTTTAGTGGAAAATAGGAAAGTTTTTTTTAAACATCATTTATAGCCTGCAGTCTCTCAGATTTTACATTGATATTACCTAAAGACATAAATGAAACATTAAATCATCAGTATTCAAAAGCTTATCCTGATCACAGAAGGTCAAGCTTAAAGTTGTCTTCCAGTGATCTGGATGGAGTGCTTCCTGTTAGCAAAGCACAGGAATCTCAAAGGCTGTGTGATTTTTTTATAACATTTGTATTTATCTGGGTACTTGGAAATCTCATTATGAACAATATAATAATAATGTCTTACTCAAAAATAAACTTTACAACTGTCATATAAAGGAAAAATATCTCTTGATAGGTAAGAAACCTAAGGAACCAAATAGCTGATTTACTTGGGAATAACCAAATTCAATTTACAATGGAATTCTTTCTGTGCTTCAAGTTTTTATATTCAAGATGGAATAAAAAATATTGTAGACAGAGTTTTACCTGAATATTTCATTTTTTATGCTTTGTGGAATTTAAAAGTTATTTGGCAGTGATTTGCAGTTAAGTCTGCCAATTTTATGCAAAGCATGTGGTCTGTTTTTATTCAGCTAAGTTATAAGCTCATCTACTTCACTTTTAGTTATTTGGTATCCTTGTCATTTTCAACTCATTTTGAAGATCAATATGCAACTTATGTGTATCACTTCACCTGAAATACAATTTTGGGTAGAAAATTTTATTGGATTTATATCTGTTTTGTGGGTCTTTCATAAAAGCTGATTTCTTTCTGCTGATTTTGTAGATGTCTCTGTACCATTCAACTGGGATGAGCTTAAGGAGTATGAGCTAATTTTTGTACTAAAGATATGCCAAGGTGAAAACACTATTAAATGTTCTGTTTCATAAAGTAAAATGTTAGTATCACTTGTGTATTATTGTTTTATGTGCTTGCCATTATTTCCTTTACTAATGCAGACAATCAACTGTTACCTATAAAATAGGGATGAATTGAAATGAATACTGATCTGCTACAAACTAAATATTTAACTGATCTTAAAGTGTAGGTTAATATGCTATTAGTTGAAGTAATTGCTAATAGTATTCAAGGAAGTCAAAATGACTCACTGCATTGTATTTGGATTAAATGAGACACTAAAATCCACTGGAGAGCTTTAGAAAGTAGTAGTGTTGGGGCTCCCCTGCTACTCCGAAATTCTTTTAGAATGCTAGAGAAGCATGGCTTTCATTTGAACTCCACTTAATGCATAGTAGTAAATATCTCTTTTCATTAGGGAGATACAGAATAGAACTCAATTAAGACTGAAGCCTGCTTGGTAAGTGGAGAGGATTAGGGCTAGGAATGTACCTTAATACAACCTTAACCCAGCCATCCAAATACTCCTGCAGGCCCAGGTGCCTTAAAGCTTCTCAGAATTTAATATGCATAGAGCCATTTAGTGGTCTTGTTCAAATGCATGTTTTTATTCTGTGACTCCTGAAATTCTACATTTTTAGGGGATGCAGATGCTATTGGTAACTTGGATCAAACTTTGAGTTACAAGGACTTAGCACTCTGTCCCCAAATCACTGCCTTGTCCATAGATCGGTGATTGTCTGTCTTGACTGCACATGGAAAATAGTTCAGGGGCCTTAAAAGTCCAATTTCCAGGCCTTAGTCTATACTACTAAGACCAAAACCCCTAGAAAAGGGTCCAGGTTCATTGATTTAAATTCAAGTTTGAGAACTAATGCTCTGAAATCATGTTTTAATAGTTTTCTCTGTGACTTCTTCTTTCACCTCTTGAGCAAACATTTAAAAATTACTTATTATCCAGTATTTGTATCAAAAAGACCCAACCTGATTACTTTCAGGAGCTTCTGGGAGGGGCCAGATTCATTAGTGACATCTAATGTTTGGTTCCTGGTGACTTCATTGTAGAAGATGAACTTCCACTTCCACATTTACAACCATTAGCAAGTCCAACAATGACTTTTTTTCCATAAGACCACAAGCATTGGCAATTCCAGTACAGAGACTATCCAAGAATACCAGAGACTATCCAAGTATACATAGCCGAACCACCCTGAATAAAGAAGGTAAAAAAGCTGAACACTGTCTTTTCTAAGCCATATGTTCTTATTTACTTTACATTTATTTAATATAACATTTTGTTTAATAAGAAATGAAGAGAAATAATAACTGAGTACAGTGTAACACTGGGTTACTAATGCCAGGTTTGATGCAGAATTTTTGTGGAAGATTGTTTTTATTTCAGTATCCCTATGAATTATTATGCTTTGGCTATTGATTTTATGTGAAAAAGTCAAATGGAATGAGGTCATAAAAAATCTAATCCAATACAAAAAACTGTCCATGTCTTTTCATTAAATATTACTTTTTTTATTTGTACTTTCTGACTGGTTATATGTAATTGGGTCTCAGTGGAAGAGAAGAGATGGATAACAGAGTGAGATAAATTCAATCAAACAATTATTTCGCTTCTTACCACTTGAAGTGTCCTTACTACCATTGACTGGTACCTTTTTGTACAGATTTTCTCTTATTAATAAAACTAGTATAACAGCACACCTCTGAGTAAGAAATCAACAGAAGGATTCGAAGATGGCGCTAGAGGAGAAGAGGAAGCGAGCCTCCTAATAGCTGAAATCTTGGAGAGACGGCTGGGAGACACACTTTGCAGGCATAAAACACTGAGAAGAGCATAACTTTGACTCCTCCACAACCTCCAGCTGGCTCAGAGAACTCACTTACATTAAACGGAAGAAACCAGGAGGGTCCCCGAAGCCGCCAGTCACCCCGCACCAGAGGCTTGGAACGCCGCGGACCAGCTTACTGGTCAATTAGTACCACTATCTCTGTTTATACCTTCTGAAACTGTCTTGTCTGATACTATTCTGTTTTTCTCCTTTGTCGTATATTTGTTTTCCCTTTTCTTTAACTTCTTGCTTTCCATCTCAGCTCACCCTTCCATTCTAATATTACCATTGTTATTATTACAAGCTAGAAAATACTTAATTGCACACAGTACAGGGACAGTAACAACACCAAACAATGAGGAAGACAGAAAAAACAGGGAAACCAGTTTCCCCACAGCAAAAATTAGTACAGGAACCAGAGGGAATGAAGAAAACAGAACTCAGATCCAGACTCCAACAAAATGAAGATAAACTATGCCAAAGGAACCCAATGAAGCCCACAAGAATAATTTAAAAGAAGACATACTACAAGTACTCAATGAGAATTTTATAGAATGATACTGGATAGGGTCAACCAAAATGTACAGGAGACACTCAAGAAATTCCAAGACAACAAAAATAGAGAATTTGAAAAAGCAAAAGAAGAAATAAAGGAAACCATAGAAGCACTGTATAAACACCAAAGTGAACAGAGAACACATGAATAAAGATAAATGAACTCAGGACAAAAATAGACAACATTAAAGAGGAAACACCAGGATATGGAAAACCTCAGAAAAAGAACGAAACAGAACTGCAAAACAAAACGGAAGGCCAATCCAGCAGAATAGAACAAACAGAAGACAGAATCTCAGAACTTGAAGATGAAATGGTAATTAAAGGAAAAACTGAAAACTATTAATTAAACAACTCAAGACCTGTGAAAAGAAAATGCAAGAACTCACTGACTCCATCAAAAGACCAAACTTGAGAATCATGGGCATCGAAGAAGGAGAAGAGGTGCAAGCGAAGGGAATGCGTAATATATTCAACAAAATAATAAGAAAATTTCCCAAATCTAGAGAAAGATATTCCCATACAAGATGCAAAGGCCTCCAGGACACCAAACAGACCAGATCAAAATAGAACTACCCCGACATATCATCATTAAAACAACAAGTTCAGAAACTAAGGAAAGAATATTGAAGGCTGTAAGAGAAAAAAACAATAACATACAAAGGTAAACCCATCAAAATCACAGCAGACTTCTCAACAGAAACATTAAAAGCAAGAAGAGCGTGGGGTGAGATCTTCCGGGCACTGAATGAAAATAACTTCAACCCCAGGATACTCTACCCAGCAAAACTATCATTCAAATAGATGGAGCAATAAAAGTCTTCCATGATAAGCAGAAACTAAAACAATATGTGACCACAAAGCCACCACTACAAAAGATTCTCAAGGATTCTGCACACAGAAAGTGAAACCCAACTTAACCATGAAAGACAGGCAGCACCAAACCACAGGAAAAGAAAAAGCAAGACAGTAGAGAGTAACCTCAACTTAGGTACACACAATCAAACCTTCAAACAACTAAGACAACTAAATCAGGAATCACCACATACCTATCAGTACTAACGCTTAATGTTAACGACTTAATTCACCCATCAAAAGGCACCGTTTGACAAAATGGATTAAAAAGAAGATCCAACAATTTGTTGC